GTTTCCTCCCGCTGGATCCGAAACAGGAACCTACTGAAGCTGCCGTGCAAGGTAAGCACCTGCGTCAGGCGGAAGGTGTGGACGCCGTGGCGTCTCTCAAGCCACTCCTCAAAGAGGGGTCTTACAAGGGATTGGGGTAGGGGTAGGATTGGGCCTCCGGTAACCTCACTCACACGGCGAAACACAACGTTGTGGTTTTCACGCCGGTTTTCTGTGAAATTCGCATGAAACCACCCTTTTGATAGAGCCTATTCAACAAAAAATAAACGTTCAAATTGGTTTATAATCGGCGGAGATATTGCGTACCTATAAAAAAGTTCATCCCCAATTTTCCACACTTAGGGGTTGTTTTCTTTATTGTTATTAAATTTAAATGGAACCACCCTTCAGGTATTACCTATACGCGAAAAAAAGATTTTTTCAAATCGGTTCATAATTTGCGGAGTTATCTCGTAACTAACATAGAAAAGAAACATACGGGTCGAATTGAGAAACTCCTCCTTTTTTTGATGTCGGTTGAAAATACATTATTGCGCCTACGGAGAATTTCTATCAATAACACATCCTTACTTATAACACAAAATAAAATATAAAATTTATAGTTTTTCTAGGCGTAAACGGTTGTGGGTTTTTTTGTGAGGGGAAAATTATCAAATGACTTCTTCTTCCACCCGACCCTGGGCGGGCCCAGGGTCGGGTGGAAGAAGAAGTCAGAATATCAGACACTTACTGTCTACAAACTTACAAACAAAGCCGGTGCCTCATTGCGCTTGCCCCACAACCCCGGCTGAATATCAACCCTATAAGGCCCCGTCTGTATTTCCCGGTAGATGGACCATTGTTCAGGAGCTCAGGGAGACAAAAATAATGTGGACTGTATTTAGTTTAAAATTAAGTCATAACAAGAAAATAGGTGTACTGAGATGTTAACTAAGGGACACAAGTGTCGGTCAAGCCGTCTGCTGGTGAAGTGGTCCCCCGCTGCTCGTGCGCCGGTCTTCTACCCCGCGCCTGCGCCTCAGCCGTCGGTGACACCAGTCCACATGATCACGCGATTGATGCGTGAACAGTGGTCTATTGGCTCTTTGAGGCTTTTTGACGCTCAGGAAAGGATTGGCGTGCAAGCGAAATAATGTACCGCGGTTCCAACCTTGAGCAGGTGTAGGAACGGGTTGGGTTTTAGTCAGCAAGAGTCTGACACTTTCGTTGTGGGATTCAAGACAGTCATTCCTGTCCTTAGGACGCGCCGGACTTCAGTGTTCTGGTGTTTTCATGGTTGTATCTACTGTAGATTGTGGAGCACAGGAGTTGCAGCGGTTTTAGGAGGATATGATGGGCTTGTCGAATTAAAAAAATCAGTCTGTCACTCCTTTTCTTGCACTCCAATTGCAAAGTGGCATTGCGCCACCGGTACATGGTGGATGTCCCACATATACGTACAAAACGTTTTGGCAGCACATTTATTATGCGTACAGCCAGGGAGTGGAATTCCTTGCCGGAGTCGGTGTTTCCTGATAGTTACAATCCGGGTATCTTTAAGTCAAGAGTGAATAGGTTACTTCTAGGTAAGCGCGCTCCATCGTCGACCGCATCGTCGCTTTCCATCAGGTGAGATAACGGTCAAGCGCGAACCTATAATAAATAAAATAAATAAATAAATAAAGTACCCTGGGCGTCAGAATTGCAAGAATTGGATGATTTTCGTCCCTTTAAAGAATGAAAACTTAACCGAATCGGTTCGGATACTACGCCACCCAGTGCCATTACTTTCTTTTGCGTGAAACGTTGCCAATGCACATAGTTCTCTCTGTTCTTACTGATAACTCAAATGCGACACAGAATGGCGGCAAACTCGCGTCCTGCCTTAATCGAGGCCATGGTGCAGAGCGAAGGGAACTGGGAATCCTCTCCTCTTTCTGCGAAGCAGTTATGCTTGCAAAGGATGATGTGGAGTGCATGAGGGAACTACCTTCCTCAAGCCTTAGCCGCCATAGTAGGCGACATTCCGGGCGTCAAGAATTGCGCGACGATCTCCGGCCACCGTGAGCGCGGGTCTGCGGTCGGCGAGTACCTAAACCCTTAGCTCGCCGCCCGACCAAAACCAAAGCCAAGCATACGGCGCCGCCGGCGCGTAGCGTTCTGCGCGTAGCGTTCTGCGCGTTCCGCAAAGAGCCAATAGACCACTACACACGGGGCCATGCCACGGACGATCGACTACCTAAGCTAGTTGCCCTTGGAGAGATGATCCCTGGCCACCGTAAGCGCGGGTCTGCGGACGGCGAGTAAGGGTAGCTCGCCGCCCGACCAGAACTAGACCCGAGCGTACGGCGTGTAGCGAACCGCGCGCGCCTCAAAGAGCCAATAGACCACCACAGTCGGGGCCCAATAGGGCTGATGTTTAGCCGGGGCTGCGGGGTAAGCGCAATGAGGCACCGCGACCTCGGCCCAGAGCAGGAGAAGGAACAGGGGGGGTTTTTAGTCAGTAAGAGTCTGACACTCACTCTCGCCTTACCCTGGGCGGGAGAAGTCATTGGATGATTTTCCCCTCACAAAAGAAAAAGCTAGTTGCCCTTGGGTATACTTGTATCTATATTATCGCCTTTGCCTCGTAATCTCGCCTTCGTATCGTAAGATATTTTAATTAACAAATAAAACAAAAATAACGCTTTTTATAAAAAATACTGTATTTAATTTAAAATATAGGTAAATTAAATAATAATAAAATATTTATTATGTTTTCGGCTTACTCGACTAGTGCACGGTAGCAGCGCGACAGTCGCCGAGTCGCGTGTCGCGGAATGCTGCTCATGAATATGGGCCTCTAGCATGGCTTGAAACTAGTCGAGTATCTCGTCAAATTATTACGTGAGTAAGCCGAAAACATAATAAATAATTTATAATGTCTCACGAAAGTTATAATAAAAAAAAAAAAAAAGTATTTAAAAATCACAAAAGTATTATTAGGTACATAAAAAATACAATTTCAAAATGTCTGATAGATACGGTTGTACTTTGTGTCATCCATTCATCATCAGCCTATAAGTGCCCACTGCTGAGCAAAGGCCTCTTCTCACACGGATAAGGTTTGAACATTAACCACTACGCTTGCGCAAAGCGGGTTGGCGATTTCAACCTTATAATTAGAAATTATAAGGTCTATGCTTTCCTTCACCGTACGTCAGTGGTGTCTAAATAATCATAGAAAGTACATATAACTCGGAAAAAAGTCACATTGGTACTTGCCAGGTTTCGTCATGAATGAGAGACGGGCGACCATTAGAAAGACAAGCGCTTAGATAAGTTATTAGCAACTCAATAAGAGATGAGACAAACAAAAATATATTGAAAATAAAGACTTGTTTACGTGAAACTGATTTAAAAAGAGTAACCATGGAGTTTCTTGCTCGTTCTTCTCCATCGGAATCTACACTTTGGAACGAGCAAATAGCTTCACTAAAAGGACTGGTCGACAGACTGACACTTTTTACCTTTAATCTTTTGTTCGACGTTCAAAATTGCCTGTAGATACCGGTCTAAATAATTAAATTAAATAAATGATTTTATTTTGACTTTTCCATTTTCAGTCATGATTCATATTCAGTCGCGAGTCGGCCTTTAAGTTAATTGACGTGAGTAAGTTGTTATTTTAATGAATACAATCAGAGATTTTAAAACAGACATTTTTTTATAATAATTATTGTAAGTTATTATATTATTTAGAAATGCAATAATAATTCTATTATACAAGTTTGTGCATGTTCACTTAGGACCGTAACATTAAAACTTTAGGGCTTATTTTTCAATGGTTAGATAAAAGTTACCTGAGGAATAATTATGATGCTGTCACGTCAGAATGTTTGTATAAGACAGTGACAGCAACAATTTTATTCCACAGATAACATTTATCTAAATATTGAAAATGTATTAGGAACATAGTATAAAACAAAGTCGCTTTCTCTGTCCCTATATCCCTATGTACCTACGCTTAAATCTTTAAAACTACGCAACGGATTTTGATGCGGTTTTTTTTCATAGATAGAGTGATTGAAGAGGAAGGTTTATATGTGTAATAACATCAATTAAATAGTGGACATATTTAGTAACAAATTCTTATTTTTTTTTTTTTTTTTGTAATAAATACGAGTCTATATTTATAATTGCTATGTATTACTACAATAATAAAACAAAATTTCCAAATTAATTCTCCTGACTCGGGATTGCACCCGATATCAGACGTTGACTATGACTAGTATGCCAAATAAATTTAGAGATCTTTATGTTATTTATTTTAAATGTGCGTGGTTATACATATATAATTTTTTTTTTTTTATATAAGTACGGAACTTTTGTTTTTAATGTAGAAAAAATATATTCTTAAATATGCTGATCCTTTTAAGTTAAGTGTAAATTAAGTAAATATTATAATTAAACAATAGTTCAGTAGTGAAATCTTAAGAAAAAAACATCTCGCTGTCTTAGACAGAAGCGGCAAATACACTAGGTGCATCAAGCAATTAAAAACCAGCATAATTGGACCTTTACATATTCAAAAACATCGTTCAAATCTAGACCAAGATAAATTCACTTAATTCACGTTCGATTCGTTATCCAAACTAATATTATAAATGCGAAAGTAACTCTGTCTGTCTGACTTGTCTTCACGCCTAAACTACTGAACCGATTTGTGTGAAATTTGGTACAGACATAGTTTGGAACTCGAGAAAGGACATAGGATAGTTTTTAAACCAAAAATTTGCAGGCAAAAGGTAGTCCAAACTAATATTATAAATGCGAAAGTAACTCTGTCTGTCTTTTCTTTACGCCTAAACCTATTTGTGTAAAATTTGGTACAGACATAGTTTGGATACCGGGTACGGGACATATGATAGTTTTTATATCAAAAATCTGCACGAAGTCACTTTTTCAATGCTAACAAAGTCACAGGCAAAAGCTAATTTACAATTGCGTAGTTTCCTAGGTCAGAAATAAATTAATTCGACGTTTCAGTACAATAAAATATTGAAAAATAACAATACTTTTATTCATCGATCGATCGATACACTAGTTTTAGATATTTTGTAGCTAATTATTAAGAAATAAGTAAGCTATTTGACGTAAAAATACTATGACGTCATACCTCAGTTTTTCATACAAATATCATAGAAAGGTATCGTTTTTGACATTTGGATAAAAGTATTGAATTTGACTAGTTGGAAACTACCGTATTAATTTAGTATGTGTCACGATCAATATGGAGTATGTATGTATAAACTTAGTAACTGTATACAAAAAAATAATAGACATTTTACTAGAAGCAATAATAAATACTACTGAACTATTGTTTTCAAACAATGAGTGGAGTTGTTGTATGTAATACAAAAAATATTTATGCAATATTAATTCCAATCTTGGAAGTTCTGTTTGAAAGCTGTCGGCTCCACGCCTTCAGGAACTCTGGTGACGTGTACCTGAAAAAAAATTGGATGATTAATATTTTTTCATTTTGATACTTCAGGATCGTCGTTGTATATAGCTGTAGAGTTTGTTTGTTTGTCAGTTTGAACGTGGTGATCTTTGTAACTGCTGGTCCTATTTGAACAATTGTTTTTGTGTTTTTTATTCTAGTTATCGAGGAAGACTATAGGGCAAAAAATGCGCGCTGGCATAAAATGGAGCTGTGAAAATGAAACCTTCCTCTTCAATCACTCTGTCAATTAAAAAACCGCATCAATATCCGTTGCGTAGTTTAAACGATTTAAGCATACATAGGGACGTAGGGACAGAGAAAGCGACTTTGTTTTATACTATGTAGTGATGAACTTGTAATAAAAACTTCTTGGCTATATTATTCATATTCATATTCATATTTATTTATTTGCAAACCATAATGTTACAAAGATGTAAAGGGCTTAGATCTAGGTACATATTATGGACCCTGATAGGGCACAGCAAAAGAAGAAGTAAGTTTAATAAATTACATGATAATTAGGTACAATGGTAGGAATTTATATTTAATTATTTATATATAAATTATTAATTAGACTATCTTTTTATCGTCCAGATATTCATTGACGCTATAGTAGCATTTGCTTAGAAGGAGTTTTTTTATTTTGTTGGCAAATAAATGTGTCTTTTTTTCGTTTCTCAGTGTTTCAGGTAGTTTATTGTACATTTTTATAGACATGACTAGTGGGCTTGATGAGTGTATTTGTAATCGGGATGATGGTAAGTTTAGGCGTGTTTTGTGTCGAAGTGTGTATTTTGTCTGTATGTCCTCACGTGTAGTGTAAAAATCTTTGTGTGTGTGTGCAAATTTTCAGATTTCCAGTATGTATAATGAAGGTATGGTAAGAATATTTAACTTTATGAAATGTGGCTTGCAACTTTACGTTTGTTCTATGTTAACTATTGTTCGAATTAGTTTTTTTTGCATCTGGTTGGTTTTGGTATGATCAAAAGTTAAAATTTTAAAAAACTTTTTGAAATATTAATGAGTACTAATAGTCAATCTTAAATGTCGTCCAACCCAAGGCAGGAAAAGACTTTTTACGATTATCCCCTTAAAAAAAATAACAATCTAAAATGGACAAAACATTGGTTCAAATCAAAAAGGCACTGTGACTTTTCTTTTTACGTTATATGGCGCCGGCTATATTGATCGAGTCTATGGCGTGGCCTTGAGTCGGCATAGTAGCCGTAGATACCTATATGTATTGGCCGTTGCCCCATTATATTATGTAGATTGATAACAATATAGACAATGTAGATTAATAATATTGGGAGAGCCAAGCTTCGGCACGATTGAGTCGGCTCGACCGGAGTGATACCACGGCCTCACAGAATACCGGCGTGAAACAATCCAGCGTTGTGTTTCGCCGTAAGTGAGGTTACCGGAGGCCCAATCCCTTCCCTTCCCGATCCTTTTATCCGCAACTCTTATCCCCAAAAGGCCGGCAACGCACTCGTAACTCATTATCAGGTAATCCGTCTGCTCGTTTGCCGACTTATACCATAAAAAAAAATATATATCAAGACTAGCGACCTAGCCTCGGTTTCGCACGGGTGCGATGCTGAAACTATATTTTTTAACTATTTAATTGATGTTTGTTATTTTAAATAGCCTATATAATAGCACTCAGGAACATTGTAGCTATCTACCAATGAAAGAATTTTGGCAATCCGTGTAGCGGTTCCAATGATTACGCCCTACATACAAACTTAAAAATTTTACCTCACTATAATCTTCAATAATATAAAAATGAATCGCAAAATGTGTTGGTAAGCGCATAACTCAATAACGACTGGACCAATTTTGCTAATTCTTTTTTTGTTATTTTCGTTATTATTTTCTATGTGAAGGTTCTTACGAAAGAAAATTTTAGAAAAGTAAAGTGGAAAATCAGGAATTAACAAAACTTTTACGGTGCTGCGGCCGTTTGCGAAAAAAAACAAATGACTGACGGGGTAGTCTGGGGTAGGCGAACCTACCCGTGCGAAGCGGGGGTGGTCCGCTAGTATTAGTATAAAAGTACAAATATCAACCAAGTTTTTTTCCTTGACCTACAACCGGTCGCTCCCTATTCCCAATACTCTGGCCAATTATTTAGAGTAGCTATTTAGATAATATCACCCATTTATATATGACAAGGGTGTGCCAAAAACAAGGTAAGAACAAATATATCAAGGTCGATGAATGACAACTCGATCGATTTCTCGCACGAAATAATTATTTGTGCTAAAACCAGTTATGGAATAAGTCGGATCTAGAAATTGTTCCGGGTCTGAGTGTGATGTGTAAGTGAAATTGCATGTTTGTAAAACCAACCAACAACACGGAGAAATTTTAGTGTGTAATATATACATACAGGGTGTAAAAAGACACTTAACGAAGCCGTTAACTACGCATACTGCAGTTCTAACTAATAAGCTTTACGCTAAAATTATCACTGGGAAACGACTTTTATTTTTAGGTATCAAAAAAAATAATAATTTTATTGCGCGCAATGTGAAGCAAACGGGCTTCGCGTCATTGTGTGTGTAGGTTCACAGCTTAGCATTAAAACGCTGTGATAAGTACGTAGGTCGACGTTTTACTTCGCAACAACAAAACAATTCTGTAAAATAAAAATCCTACTGAGATGCACGATGTTTTTTGTGCGGGTCTGCATTTATTTATTACGTACATTACTGTTCGTAACTTCAAATGTGTAATTTATTTAGAAAAATCGAAAATTCAGGTAATGTTTGTTTGGAAAAAATGGCGTGGCTTTCGGTTTCGTTAAGTGTCTTTTTACACCCTGTATTACTAAAAAAACATAAATTGAGTAAAAAACACAAAAATAAATGCTCAATTCGAGCCAGTACTTCCGGCCATCACCGCGTTAAACAAAACAGAGACTTTAGCTTTATTATACCTACTAGCTTCCGCCAGCGGTTTCGCCCGCGTGCTGTGTTGATAAAAAGCAGCCTATAGCAATAGAACAAAATCAAAGTATACATAAAAATTGGTGACCTCTCTACAGATTAAAGTATGGATTATTATAAAGCTAAAGTCTCTGTAGTATACTCGTATATATATTTTGTTAAAAAGTTTAAAACTTACCCAGAATGGATAATCGTGAGTCTTCAAATACTGTTCAGCCTTCTTCATGGCTTCAGACTTTTCCTAGAAAGAGAACAAAGAGAAATTAATTATCATTGTCATGTAATCAGTCTAGTTTTTTTTTAAAAGGAAAAATTAGTTTATTACAACTTGTTCTTTTTTTGTCAGGGGAAAATCATCCAATGACTTCTCCCGCCCAGGGTAAGGAGAGAGAGAGTGTCAGACTCTTACTGACTAAACCCCCCCGTTCCTTCTCCTGCTCTGGGCCGAGGTCGCGGTGCCTCATTGCGCTTACCCCGCAACCCCGGCTGAACATCAGCCTTAAAGGGCCCCGTCTGTGGTGGTCTATTGGCTATTTGAGGCGCGCGCGGAACGCTACGCGCCGTACGCTCGGGTCCGGTTCTGGTCGGGCGGCGAGCTACCCTTACTCGCCGTCCGCAGACCCGCGCTTACGGTGGCCGGAGATCATCTCTCGAGCTTATGACAACTTACGCCCTTGGTGAGGCGAGAGGGAGTGTCGGACTCTTACTAACTAAAAACTCCACCACTCCACTCCGTTCCTTCTCCTGTTCTAGGCAGAGGTCGAGGTACATTATTGCGTTTATTCCCGGGCTGGACAGAGACCCTTGTGACCCCATCTTAAGAATTGGAGATATGGGGGAATGAGGATTAGGAAAGACTCCAATAACCACGCGACAAAATACAATCAGTCTTTAAGTGCTTACAGCTGAGTGAAGGCTCCTTCTCACACGGAGAAGGTTTTAGCATTAATCACCACGCTTTCTCAGGATGGATTGGCGATTTCAAACTAATTACAAATTATAAGTCCAGGTTTCCTCACGATGTTTCCCTTCACCGTATGTCAGTTGTGTCTAAATAATCTTAGAAAGTACATACATATGACTCGGAAAAAGCCTCATGCATGAGATGTAGCCCTTGGTATCCGACCCATTCGTGCCGAAGCACGGCTTTCTCACACTTAAAGTATAGACGCTAAGATACCTTTTCGTTTGACTGGCGTCCAACCCATACGTAGATCCCGCTGCGACTTCCAGTGTCCAAAATATAGCATTCCTGTAACAACAAAAGAACAAGATAAATACATATACTCACAAAAATCTTCCTAAACATCCACTTAATCTATACTAATATTATAAAGAAGTAAAATTTGTAAGTTTATATGTAGGGGATAATCTTTGGAACCGCTGGTCGGATTTCCAAAATTCTTTCACTGATCGATAGCTACAATATTCCTGAGTGCTTTAGGCTATAAAACATCACGCTACGATTAAATGGAACCGAGCAGCGGGTGAAACTGCGCGAGAGTAGCTGGTTATTTATAAGGATTAGGTCGGCAAACGAGTAGACGGATTACCTGATGGTAAGCAATCAGTGCCGCCCATACCTACACAAAAAGAGTAACGAATGCGTTACTAACCTTTTCAGGGTGAGAGTTTCGGAGATTAGGATTATATATATATATATATATGTATATGATAGGGCACACACGGCGAAACATAACGCTGTGGTTGTTTCGCTTTGGTGTGACTCCGGTCGAGCCGACCCATGGCACTACCACACCGTTATTAATGACTAGCTTTTGCCCGCGACTTTGTTCACGTGGAAAAGTTACTTCCTGCAGATTTTTGGAATAAAAACTATCCTATGTCCTTTCTCGAGTTCCAAACTATGTCTGTATCAAATTTCACAGAAATCGGCTCAGTAGTTGAGGCGTGAAGAAAAGACAGACAGACAGACAGAAAGACAGACAGACAGAGTTACTTTCGCATTTATAATATTATAGTTAGGATTAGGTTTTTTTATGTGATAGGACAGTTAATAAGCAGACGGATTACCTGATGGTAAGCAATCAGTGCTGCCCATGTACAAAAAGAGTAACGAATGCGTTGCCAGCTTTTTGAAGGATGACACAACGCTGGCGTCGCCCATGGCCACTCGTAGTATTAGAGAAGGTACAAATGCGGTGCCGGCTTTTTGGGCGGGATTTGGTAGGGGAAGAAGGGTTGAGCCTCCATTAACCTCACTCACATGGTGAAACACAACGCTGTGGTTGTTTCACGCCGGTTTCCTATGAGGTCGTGGTATCACGTGTGCATTTTCTACATAAGCCTAGATAATACATTTAGCTGAAAATTGGCAGGGAGGTAGTTTAGAGCCGGGAGAAGGAGATAGGATGATAGGATAGAGTAGGTAGAGTAGGTTAGGTAGAGTAGGGTAGGTAGAGTAGGGTAGGTAGAGTAGGTTAGGTAGAGTAGGGTTGGTAGAGTAGGGTTGGTAGAGTAGGGTACGTAAAGTAGGGTATGTAGAGTAGGGTAGGTAGACTAGGGTAGGTATAGTAGGGTAGGTAGGGTAAGTAGAGTAGGGTATGTAGAGTAGGTAGGGTAAGTAGTCAAATGACGGGAGCGACGCCGCGGGTAAGAGCTAGTATGTATAATATATGTATCTACGTCGCTACAAACTCTTAAATACACTATATAAATGAAGTGGTACTTATAAAGTAAACATTATATTTGTGGACAGTAAGTATCCTCGCCTCATTATATCGAAATGATAAGATAAAATCAATGAAGAGGCTTATCACGCCTGGTGGTACCTAAGCGAGGATGCGACCTACGATGGAGCACGCCTACTCATAAACAACCTATTCACTCGGGCCTTGGCTTGAAGACACTCACATTATACATACCATAAATCTCTGGCATAGAATTAAAGAAAACTCCTTTGAAGTTCTATTGAAAAAAACTGTTTAATAAGATACTTTACTAGCTTTTGCCCACGACTCTGTTCGCTTGGAACAGTGACTTCCTTTAGATTTATGGTATAAAAACTATCCTATGTCCTTTCTCGAGTTCCAAACTATTTCTGTGTACCAAATTTCACAAAAATCGATTCAGTAGTTTAGGCGTGAAGAAAAGACGGACAAACAGAATTACTTTCGCATTTATAATATTAATAGTATAGATTACTACTTAATTGGTTTTTCTTTATAAGCAACCACTCGGGCCTTGAAGACAGCCTTCGGAGAACACAAACTCCGGCAAAGAATTCCACTCCTTACCGGTTCTGATTATAAAACTGGAGGCGAACCGTTTCGTGTGTGTAGGTTGGATATCCACCATGACGCGATGACGTTTTGCCGATTGTCTGGTGTTACGATGGTGGGCTAGAGGGAATCAGGTTGTATAGCTTCCCTGAACATTTTCCAAAATATATCCGATACAATACCGAAAGGCTCACAGTGGGAGAACCAGAGAAACACGGCCTCACAGAAAACCGGCGTGAAACAACCACAGCGTTGTGTTTCGCTGTGTGAGTGATGTTATCGGACGCCCAACCCTTCCCCTCCCCAATCCCTAAATCTCCCATATCCCTTATCCCCAAAAGGTCACCAATGCACTCGTAACTCCTCTGTTGTTGCAAGTGTCCATGGGCGGCGCTGATTGCTTACCACCAGGTAACCAGTCTGATCTTTTGCCGATCTATCAAGTAAAAAAAAGTTTGCGCCTGTATTCGAGGCTTTGAAGACGGGCCTCGACTAGCCCATCGTGGTTGATGTGCTATTAAAATGTAACTAGGTTACGCTACATCTCAACCGGAGTGATACCACGGCCTCAGACACAACGCTGTGGTTTTCCGTAAGGCGGTGGTATGGTATGACTCCGGTCGAGCCGACCTATTCGTGCCAGAGCACTCACTTAAAAGCTACATAAGGTCGACTAAATCATTTAGTACTACTGAAAAATGTATAAAAAATTTAATTTACTGAAAGTAATCTCTTACTCACATCACCATTCCGCCTATAAGTGCCCACTGTTCAGCAAAGGCCTTTTCTCATACGGAGAAGGTTAGAGCATTAATCACCACGCTTGCTCAATGCGGGTTGGCGATTTCAAACTTATAATTAGAAATTATAAGTCCAGGTTTCCTCACGATGTTTACCTTCACCGTATGTCAGTGGTTTCTAAATAATCGTGGAAAGTACATATAGCTCGGAAAAAGTCACATTGGTACTTGCCAGGTTTCGGACGCACACTCTTAAGCATGAGAAGCGGGCTCCTTAACCTCCGGGTCACCACGACGATAACTGACTTACTCACATGAATTACCTATATAACGAAGTCACCGCGACGCGGAATAAGAGTCCCGGTGTGACTTGGAACTGGTAGAGCTTTCCTCAGTTACGTGAGAGTCACATGAGAAAGAGCTGATTTTTCAATGGTTAGATAAAAGTTACCTGGGGATTAATTATGATGCTGTCGCGTCAGAATGTTTGTTTAAGACAGTGACAGCAACAATTTTATTCCTTAGATAACATTTATTCGACTATTGAAAAATCAGCCCTTACTAGTTATATTTACTATTCTAAAATAATAAAAAAAAGTTACCTTAGTGTTCAGAAGATCCTGTGTGAATGGAGGAGATAGCTTGGTTATCCTGATAGTACCAGAGCTGTCGGAGATCTCGCTCAATGAAACCTCAACGTCGGCACCTCGTTCGAACTCCTGCTGACAATTAAACTTCTAAATAAAAATTCATGCTTGAGTTAGTACCATATAGCCTAGTAGCTTTAGCCCGCAACTCCGTTCGCGTGGAATAGTGACTTCCTGCAGATTTTTGGTATAAAAACTATCCTATGTCCTTTCTCGAGTTCCAAACTATGTCTGTACCAAATTTCACAGAAATCGGTTCAGTAGTTTAGGCGTGAAGAAAAGACAGAGAGACAGAGTTACTTTCGCATTTATAAAATTTATAAAAGTTGCCCCTCACTAGTATTTTTCCTGTGTCGTGGGTGCGTTTACAAAAATACAAATTCACATACACATCACACCCATACCCGAAACAAAAATTTGTGGATCCGTGCCGAATGTGTGAGAATGATTTTTTTTTTAATTATTTCTTTCTTTACTCTAATTCTATAAATGACATTTAGTCATCTATTTTGACAGCGCCATCTACATGCATTTTGTGCAAAACATGTTTTTTAAACAATTATATTTAAATATTACTTTAACTTAAAAAAGGATTAGCAAAATATTACGTTTAAAAACGAATTTTTGCTTTGCTATATTTTTTTTTAATATTAAACTACTATTTTGTACTAAGAATTTGAGGTATGTACCATTTGCGCCGGGGCCTGGGATTTTTTTTGCCTTATCCTTTAACTAGAATAAATAGATAAAATACTATTTTAGAAAAGTGAATAATATGATTTTATAATTCGACATTAATTAGTTTGAATTGATTGCTTGCACTTGATCGACAAGGCCATCAGACAAACAATCATTTCAAATTTCGATATCATAATTTTCAGAATGGGTCCACTTAAACTGTTGTTGTGCTTTCCTGAAAAGACCTCTCACAGCTACGTCGGGTGGTCTCGGTATAAATTAACGCATTTGGTTAAAAATGAGTACAAGTTACTTTACATCTAAATAATAATGAACATTCATTCTTCTTCATACAAAACTACATTTTGAAATGAGCACCTAGTTTCATTGACGGACTAAACCGACAATTCTATTTGGACCTTTCACGATGTCCTATTAAAGGTTGAATTGTAATAAAAACGTTTGAACTTGATTTTGACAGTTTACCATCTAGAAAGTAAAAGCTGTTCTGTGTCACCCACCTCATCATCTCCACCTTCAGTCGCCTCAGCCACGGAATCCTTGTCACCAGATCCTAACGCCTCGAAGAACTTCTCAAAATCGCTATCCCTGGAATCCGCATCTATGAAGAAGAAAAAATATATAAATATGAAATGTATATTTGTATATCTATACTGATATTATAAATGCGAAAGAAACTCTTTCTGTCTGTCTGTTTGTCTATCTATCTGTCTGTCTGTCTGTCTTTCTTTTCTTCACTTTTAAACTACTGTACAGATTTCTGTGCAATTTGGTACAAAAATAGTTTGGAACTCGAGAACGGACATAGGTTATACTATGTCCTTTCTTGAGTTCTTCCAGTTTTTATACCAAAAATGTTCCGAAAGACAATATTCTAAGCGAACGGAGTCGCGGACAGAAGCTAGTAGAAAAAATAACCACTTTATTCATGGAATTGAAAAACTAGCGACCTGCCCCGGCTTTGCACAGATACAAGTGTGATTCAAATTTCTCCACAATTTAATGGATGTTATTATACGTAGAAGTGCCAACCAACGTCAAAATCCATTGCGTAGTTTTAAAGATTTAAACCTACATAGGGATATAGGGACAGAGAAAGCGATTTTGTTTTTATACTACCTATGTTGTAATAACGAAAATGTATGACTTTTTGAATTAACTGAAAAAAGCTCTAGTCCGGCGTGACAGCGTAGTGATTTGGCGTGTGAGTGAGGTTACTGGAGGTCCAATCTTTCTCTCATCTCCAATCGTTAAATCTTTAAAATCCCAGCAACGCACTCTTAACTCCCCTGTAGCTGTGTAGACGACTCTAATTGCGTACCATCAGTTGATCCGTCTGTAAGAGTTCGTTCCAGTGATAAAATGACAGAGAACAGTTTCTTTTAGTTTTACTTTTTTTATAAAACGTTGCCCCACACCAGGATTTCCTCCCGTGTCGTGGATGCGTTTACAAACATACAATTTCACATACACATCACACCCAGACCCGGAACAATAATTTGTGGATCACTCAAAGAACTCTTTTTGTGATCCAAAAATTTACCACAATTCTGCGCGCCAACCACCGCGCCAACCGTGCAGATTCGAACGAAGAAGACCGATCGCAAGTGAACGAAAGAACGAATGAACTTAGAACTTACCAATGATTTCAATGCTAGCCCTTCCATTATGATCTTGATCCCTGATCTGGTTGGCAACAGTGATAGCCTTCAGTCTCTCCACACTCTTCGCGTTCTCACCGACGTACAGATATATCTCATGGTTCACATCCAGGATAAAGCAATCCCCTTTGTTCAAAGACTCAAACTTGACGTCCACCTGAAAAAGGGTCATTTAGAACTGGAAAGGTCGGATGAGGTGTGAGCAATAATATTATAAGTAAAATGGTGTAGATAGGTCACCTAAACAAAATTCGATTTTCAAAAACGACACACTGATACACACATGAACAATTCGTATGTTTAGACGTCAAAGTGAGATGGCATGATTCAATTATAGCGAGTTAAAAAGAGACAAATATGTAAAAGTGTGGCTAGTTAGCCACATTTTAATGTTAAACCTTTTTACTTATAATGTCATTGGGTGTAAACGAAATAATGTACGAGTACTTCGGTCCCCAGCAAGGGCCACTGACAACTAATAGCTTCACTAAGAGGACTGACCGACAGACTGACACTATATCTTCAAAATTTTGTTTGACGTTCAAAAGTGCCTGTAAGGGTCTTATCGGATTAAATGAGTTTTGACTTTTTGACTCGGGCCAAGATATTGTGGCGTCCACTCGAGGGAAGCTATATCAAGAGAAGAGGGAGAGTCAGACCCTTACTAGCTAAAAAAACACAACGTTTCGTTTCCTACGAAAAAAACGTTTAAAAGGCAGAAAAGGGGTCCATCATTATCATTATCAGCCGGAAGACTTTCAGACGGAAGGTCTTTTGTCCAGCAGTGTCCTTCCTCTTATTTCTCCACATCGAACGACACGTCACCACACAGTTCTGCCTAAAGTACGTCTATTATCGTTACTCGAGCACTTTTCTGAATCGGCCGTATGACATCCAAGCCATTTTTTTTATGAGGGGAAAATCTTCAAATGGCTTCTCCCGCCCTAGTGTCAGACTCTTACTGACTAAAACCCGCCTGTTCCTTCTTCTGCTTTGGGCCGAGGTGGCGGTGCCTCATTGCGCTTACCCCGCAACCCTGGCTGAACATCAGCCCCATAGGGCCCAGTCTGTGACATTCAAGCGATGTAGCCTGTCTATTGCCACTTTAGCTTGCAGATTTTAAGAGCTATGTCGTTGACTCTGTTTCTTTGGCGAATTTCCTCATTTCGGATTTGGTCGCGCAAATGAAAAACTAGGAGTTAGCTCGGTTTACTAAACACTGTTTTATCGTTTCCAGTTTTGAACTGTGAATAGAAACACCCACTTTAACTAGCAACAGAGGAAGCCGCATGTAGCTATTTTAGGAATATTCAACTTTCAACTGAATCCTGTAAACCAAAAAGTACAAATTCCCTTTTTGAGTGACACATACCTGTTTAACGCGTACGTTTCTTTTGCCCTTGATCTGGAACATTCTTTGTTCGGTACCCTCGTTGATTGTGACGTGGTTGAAGCCTGACGCGTGACCTCCATCCAAATACCTGATCGCTAGACAAGGATGGGAGATGTGTTAGAAAGAGATCATCAGCATGCTGGGCTATCCATGCTTCGGCACGAATGGGTCTACTATGGAAAATCGTCATCAGCCTATAAGTGCCCACTGCTGAGCAAAGGCCTCTGCTAACACTGATAAAGTTTTGAGGATCAATTAATACGCTTGCTCAACGTAGATAGCATTGCTTTGTATCAAATTTCGTTCATATCTCTTCTGCAGTTTTTAGTCTGACAAACTATCATTTTTTTTTGCAGGATGTAATTAAACCGTAACCCAAGCCCTTGTTCTTAAAATGAATATGTACATATGTACGAGGGAAGGAAGACATGCGCAATCCGTAGTTAAAATTTTCTATAAACATCCTTGTTTTTTTAATAACCTAAACCATGTGATCGCTTGATACGCGAATTGAAACCGTAAAACATAAAAAATACATTAAAAACGATCTATTTTTGAACATCACAAGCTGTTCGGTTTCACACATGACACGTCGGCGTCGGTGTAAAAAGTTGCTATAAAAAAAATCAATGAAATAAAATACCTAGATCTTTCTTGGCGCCATTTTTTATAGATTCAGTTACTAACCTCAAAGATGGCTGTTTCTAAGTTGTTTCGAGTTTGGAAGGTAAAAACGTAACTAACGTAAAAACTATTGAAGGGATCCGAATGAAATTTCGCTCAGGGATAGATATTAATCTGGAATCACACATACAGGGTGTAAAAAGACACTTAACGAAGCCGTTTACTACGCATAGTGCAGTTCTAACTAAGTAGCTTTACGCTAAAATTATCACTGGGAAACGAGTTTTATTTTCAGGTATTAAAAAAAAAATATATTGCGCGCAATGTAAAGCAAACGGGCTTCATGTCATTGTGTGCGTAGGTTCACAGCTTAGCATTAAAACGCTGTGATAAGTACGTAGGTCAACGTTTTACTTCGCAACAACAATAACAAAACTATTCTGTAAAATAAAAATCCTACTGAGATGCACGATGTTTTTTGTGCGGGTCTGCATTGATTTATTACGTACATTACTGTTCGTAACTTCAAATGCGTAATTTATTTATAAAAATCGAAAATTCAGGTAATGTTTGTTTCGAAAAAAGTTTTGAAATAATACTTAGAATTCAAAAATTAAAAATGCATCTTTGACCTTCAATATCTCGAGAACCCGTGGAGTCCCAGCTATGGTCTTAAAGAAAAAAATGATCCAAATAATGGGTAGAATACGTGGCTTTCGGCTTCGTTAAGTATCTTTTTACACCCTGTATGCTACGTTGTACCCTGCTGATGCGGTAAAAACCGCTGACAGTAATGCAAAACAATCTGCAATATTAAATCGCCCAATTCAGAACTTGACTGCTAAAGCAGTTACAAAGAAATACCTATTAAAAAAATCTTTTGTTGTTCTTACCAGGTGGGAAATAGTCCAAGAACTGCCTAGACTCGTATCCCTGGACCTCTCTATGCTGGATGGCTGCTCCATGGAACTGTTCATCATCCATATTGACGGTCAGCATAGCTGCTGATCCAGCTTCATCTTGAGAAGTCTTGCTTCCCAACCAGAAGTGGATGTCCCAGGCCAAGCGGTCTTCTTCTCCTGTTGTCTGTTGAAAGATGGCTTTTTAGGATGATGGTTGGACCACCATTGATGGGACCCTATAGGGCTAATGTTCAGTGCAATAAGTCACAGCGGCATCGGCCTAAAGCAGGAGAAGGAACGGGGGGTTTTTGGTCGGTAAGAGTCGTAACACTCCCTCCCGCTCTTCCCTGGGCGGGAGAAGTAAATTTGATGATTTTCCCGTCACAAAAAAAAAGGATGACAATTAGCAAGGGAAGCCGATGATTACCGTTCAGATCAATGTGGGACAGCCAAGCTTCGGCACGAATGGGTCACTTCGATCGGAGCTATACAACGGCCTCACAGAAAACCGACGACGTGAAAGGTTGTGTTTCGCCGTGTGAGTAAAGTTACCGTAGACCAAATCACCTCCGTCATCCGTCCCCAATCGATCGCAAAATTTCCCACTAATCGCCAAAGGCCGGCAACGCACTCGGAACTTCTCTGGTTGTGCGCGTATCCATGGCCGGCGCCGATTGCTTACTATCAGGCATATAGGAATAATCTATCAGGTTAGATAAAAGTTACCTGGGCAATAATTATGATGCTGTCGCGTCAGAATGTTTGTATAAGACAGTGACAGCAACAATTTTATTCCTCAGATAACATTTATCTGACTATTGAAAAATCTGTCCTTAGTTATATAAAGAAACTCTTTTGATAAAATGTAATGATTGAGTCCAGAAAATAAATACTTTTTTTTATTTTTTATTTAATACTTACGCTAAGGACAATGTATGAGTCACCGGAGTAGAATTTGCCATAATTTGATACTGGGACAGGAACTGGCTCAAAATCCTGCAACAAAAACAAAATGTTTTTAGAATACTACACTTTTACCAGTTGGTACTTACACGATTATATGAAGAAGAAAGTCGTGTTAGTTACACTATTTATAACTCAAGAACGGCTGAACCGATTCGGCTGAAATTGGTAGCGTAGGTAGAAGGTAGCTTGTAGGCGAAGAGCGCGAGGGAACTATCCTCCTCGCGCCCCAGCCGCCGCAGAAGGCGACATTCCGGGCGTCGGGGATCGAGAGATGATCTCCGGCTACCGTAAGCGCGGGTCTGCGGACGGCGAGTAAGGGTAGCTCGGCGCCCGACCAGAACCAGACCCTACAGACGGGGCCCCATAGGGCTGATGTTCAGCCGAGGTTGCGAGGTAAGCGCAATGAGGCACCGCGACCTCGGCCCAGAGCAGGAGAAGGAACAGGGGGGGTTTTAGTCAGTAAGAGTCTGACACTCCCTCCCGCCCGACCCTGGGCAGGAGAAGTCATTTGAGGATTTTCCCATCACAAAAGAAAGGTAGAAGGTAGCTTAGATAAAAGAATTGGTAAAATTGGTCGAGCCGTTACTGAGTTATGGGCTTACAAATACAATGCATTTTCCAAACTATCCAACTTGCTCTCGGATGTACCTACATATGTATTTACGACTAGTTACCCTCGCGTGGTTTCACCCGATGCTCGGCTCTTATATATCGTAGCGTAATGTTTTATAGCCAAAAGCCTTTCTCAGTAAATGTACTAACACACGAAACGAATTATTTAATTCAAATCAGTAGTTCTGGAGATTAGGGCGTTCAAACAAACAAATAAACAAACTCTCAAATATTAGTATAGATTAATCGGCATACGGTATTTCAAATCAATGTACCAATCAATAAAAGTATTCGAATCCGTAATAAAAGAAAGAAGAAAATACCTATGCAATATATTAAATATCTATACTATAATATTATAAATGCGAAAGTAACAGTCAGTCAGTCTGTCTGTCTTTTCTTCACGCCCAAACTACTAAACCTATTTGTGTGAAATTTGGTACAGACATAGTTGAAACTCGAGAAACGACATAGAATAGTTTTTAAAACGAAAAACAAAGTCGCGGGCAAAAGCTAGTATTTTTATATGTATATAAAACGTTGACGTTTAAAAGTACTACTTAATGGCATATTGGCCAAAACGCCTCTCACGCAAGCAATTCGTATGATAAATGAAATCCACAACAATATAGATATTTTTTCGTGTCAGTTCAGTGAACTCGCAAGGGTGTTTTTTTTTAACATTGCCCCACACTAGGATTTTCTCCTGTGTCGTGGGTGCGGTTACAAACATACAATTTCACATATGTACACATGACACCCAGACCCGGAACAACAATTTGTGGATCACCCAAAGAATTGTTCCGTGCGGGAATCGAACCCGTGACACGTTGTACGGCAGCCAGTTGCCCAGCCACCGCAACAATCCGTCCCCAGGTAACTATTATCTAACCATTGAAAAATCAGCCCTTATGAATCTGACACTTTATAAATACTTTATTTATATTATGTTATAAGATAGATTAGGCCGTAGTTGTTAATGTGTTTTATTTTATTGTTTTTGTATTGTTTGTTTTTGTTTGTCTTTTTTATTAACCAAGAAGGGTGTGTGTCTGGTTATGTTTTTAATTGTATTTTTTAATTTTAGTTAAATGTCTCACCAACGCATTGGATTAGTCTGTAAAGTTAGTGATAAGGATGATAAATAAATAAATAAATAAATATTTGCAAAAATAAATTCATTGTTTCATTGTTTCAATACTTTGCTGTTGTGATAGATAGATAGATATACATAATATAATATAATATAATTATTGTTTATTTAATAAAATAACCTATTTCCCTAAATACATTACGATAGATAAGCAAAAATAAATATGATGTATATATGTATGTATATAGGGTACCTAATTTATCCTGCACAATATCAACAAAACAATATCTAGGTGCAAACAATACAATTAATTATTACATTTATAAAATGATAAAAATAATTATGTCAAATCTGAACCTAATTATGTATGTACACGATAAAGTTAATTATCAACTAAAACATTGAGTTTTTTTATGTGATAAGTCGGCAAACGAGCAGACGGATTACCTGATGGTAAGCAATCAGCGCCGCCCATGGACATCCACAACGACAAAAGAGTTACGAGTGCATTGCCGACTTTTTAGGGATTAGGGATTTGGAGATTTAGGATTTGGGAGAGAGGAAGGATTGGGCTTCCGGTAACCTCACTCACACGACGAAACATAAAGCTGTGGTTATTTCACGCCGGTTTCCTGTGTGGCCGTGGTATCAATCACTCCGGTCAAGCCGACCCAATCGTGCCGAAGCTTGGGTCTCCAAACTTAAAACTTGCCTCTTTCTACACGGAGAAGGTATGAGCATTGACCACCATGCTTGCTCAAAGCGGATTGGCGAAAGTACAGCTCTCGCCAAACTTTGTGACCGCCCTGAATATGGTCGCGAGTCCGAACTTGCCCATGGTACAGTCGAGTGGGCAATACGTAATCAACCAATATTAGTACCGGTTGTAAAAAGACACTTAACGAAGCCGAAAGCCACGTATCCTACCCATTATTTGGATCATTTTTTTTCTTTAAGACCATAGCTGGGACTCCACGGGTTCTCGAGATATTGAAGGACAAAGATGCATTTTTAAATTATTATTTTTTTGCGCAATCGAATTCTAAGTATTATTACAAAACTTTTTTCCAAAGAAACATTACCTGAATTTTCGATTTTTCTAAATAAATTACTCATTTGAAGTTACGAACAGTAATGTACGTAATAAATAAATGCAGACCTGCACAAAAAACATCGTGCATCTCAGTAGGATTTTTATTTTACAGAATTGTTTTATTGTTGCGAAGTAAAACGTCGACCTACGTACTTATCACAACGTTTTAATGCTAAGCTGTGAACCTCCGCACACAATGACACGAAGCCCTTTTGCTTTACATTGCGCGCAATAAAATTATTATTTCTTTTGATACCTAAAAATAAAAGTCGTTTCCCAGTGATAATTCTAGCGTAAAGCTACTTAGTTAGAACTGCAGTATGCGTAGTTAACAGCTTCGTTAAGTGTCTTTTTACACCCTGTTTTCAGGGCGGTCACAAAGTTTGGAGCGGGCTGTAAACGCGCTCGCTTCTCGAGTATGATGACTTGATGAGGTATCGTGCTTGAGAAGCGGTGCGTTAACTTTCGGGCCGTCACGTGAAATAAAAAGTAAATGGCTTATAAATAAAATTAATGTTTTCATTGTATCCTGGCTTCAGATCTATTTTTGAAAAAGATCACTATCCAACGTTTTATGACCGATCTCAGGAGAAAAAAAATCTAGAATAAAAAATGAGCCATCATTTTTTAAGTACCGAAACTCTAGGAATAGACAATAAAGAGACAATAAAAATAGTTTAAAAAATCTTTTAGCTTATCTGTGCCAAGTTTCAAAGAATTTGAGGTTTTTTCTTAGGTATTTAATAAATGAACCAGATGACGTATGGCCTGATGGTAAGCAATAAACGCCACCCATGGACACCCGCAGCAATGGAGGAGCTACGAGTGCGTTGCCGACCTTTTGGGAGCTAGGGATTTGGAGATTTTGGGATTGGTGGAGGGGAAGGATTGGGCCTCCGAAAACCTGAACATCACGCTGGTTTTCTGTGAGGCCGTTGTATAAAATAATGGATTTTTAAACACTTATAAATCTTTTAGTGTTGCGGGCTACGATTTCCTACTAGCTTTTAACCATAAAAACGGTTGACCGTCTACGCCATAATAGCCATTTTAATAAACAAAAGAATATCATATTGTATTTCTATCAATAAAATCTCTTTCGATTTTACTACACACTTTATCGTTGATATTAAATCTAGAAATGTTGTAAAAATAAATGAAATATGATGAATAATGATGTAAAATGTGGGAGAGCCATGCTTCAGCAGAAATGGGACAGCTCTACCGGAGTGATACCACGGCCTTACAAAAAACCAGTGAGGTTACCGTAGACCCAATCCTTCCCCAATCGCAAATTCTCCAAATCCCAAATTCCTAAAAAGATTGGCAATTCGCTCGTAACTTATCCATTGTTACGTGTGTTTACGATTACGGGCGGCGCTGATTGCTTACCATCAGGTAATCCGTCTGCTCGTTTGCCGACTTATTACATAAAAAAAATGTTTAAATGTTTCAATATTTTGCGCTTCTGATAGAAAAAAACACTTGTTATCTAGACAATGTAATTGTATATTCGCGTATAGTAAAATGTATATTTATACACACAAATAACTATATTCGCTATGATCATAAAACATGGTTTTTTCGATGTTAACGAAAATAAAACAAAATTTACCACATAATGTCTGCCACGCTCAATTTGTAACCCCTCTAATTGATGTCAAAGTTATGTCATCCGGACATTGTCAATTTCTTGGATGACGCAAACGTTTTTTTTTTTAGTCTTGCGATCTGTGGTAAAATGGTTCGTATTTTTGTTTCGAAGAAGAACATCGTGAGGGAACCTGGACTTATAATTTCTTAATATAGGTTTGAAAAGAGTAACGATGGAGTTTCTAGCTCGTTCTTCTCCATTCGAAACTAAAATTTGGAATGAGCACCTAGCTTCACTGACGAATAGACTGACAGACTGCTATTCTATTTCGACGTTTCAAAAGTACCTATTTATGGTTTAGTTGGAATAAATGATTTTGATTTGATTTGAAATTGTTAATCCGCTTTAAGCAAAGCAATAAATAAATGATAAGTGTATAGCTATGCTGCAGCTGGGGTCTTTGCGCGACAAAATCCGAAATGTGGAAATTTGCCAAAGAACCAAAAGTCACCGACATAGCTTGTAAAATCTGCAGGCTAAAGTGGCAATGGGCAGGCCACGTCGCTCGAAGGACGGACGGCTGATAGGGCGACGACATAGTCAGAGTCGCGGGGAGCCAATGGATGCAGGTGGCAACTTGTCGTTCGACGTGGAGAACTAAGGGGGAGGCCTTTGATCAGCAGTGGACGTTCTCCGGCTGATGATGATGATGACGTGTGTCGCCACGCTTCGGCACGAATGGAGTGATATCACGGCCTCACAAAAAACCGCCGTGAAGCAACACAAACGTTGTGTTTCGCCGTGTGAGGGAGGTAAAGGTAATCCCCTATCCTTAAATCTCTAATAATCCACAATAGGCCGGGGACATATTTATTTAGTAACTCCTTTGGTACCTATTACGGTTGTTTACGGGCGGCGCTGATTGCTTACCATCAGCTAATCCGTCTGCTCGTTTGCAGAAAATCAGTGCTTAACATACAAGTATAAAGTTAACTATAAAACTCATTTCCTAATAAAAAAATAAATGACAGTCTACAATGTTTAGAATCTTGCCGCATGTCAACTAGAGTCGCGCCGACCGTCTTTTTTTTTCGCGCAAAATAAAAATAGCTACGTATAAACGCGTGATGCAACCGTATAAAAATAGTTTTTAATAAATATATGTCCACATGTAACACGGGACACGAGTATATAGTCACTATATATATAGTATAAAAATTTCTTTAGAGGTATTGAAGAAGAAGGTTTATTCAAATCCAAACGAATATTATAAATACGAAAGTAACTCTGGCTGTCTGCCTTTTCTTCACGCCTATACTACTGAACCGATTTCTGTGAAATTTGGTGCAGACATAGTTTAGAACTCAAGAAAACTGTAAAAAAATCTGCAGGATGTCACTATTTTTCGCGAATGGCGTCGCGGGCAAAATCGAGTATTTTGTATGTGTAGAAATATTCGATAAATAGGGGAGAAATTTAGTAGGTACCTAAGCGAAGCCGGTTAGGGTCGCTAGTATTAAATATATTGAAAATAACGACTTAGGACTGATTGCCCAATGGTAAAAATTACCTAAGGAATAATATTATGATGCTGTCGCGCCAGAATGTTTGTATAAGACAGTGACAACAACAATTTTATTCCTCAGATACCTAATATTTATCTGACTATTGAAATATCACGTGATATCGACTTATTTAAACTCTAAAAAGAACACTTTCTTAGTAGCTAACAAAGTTTTGTACTGTTCAAAAACAAAATATAAATACGTTATACGCCATAGTTATAAAACTGCAAGAATGTAAATAATCGCCCACTGCTTGATAAAGTGATGACTTTTGATACATCATAAAAATGCAACATTAAAATCCAGATAATAAAAATATTTTGTTGTCAGTAATCATTCATTCGTTCGTTCGTTCTTTCACCCGGCTGAAAATACTACAGAGGATTAGAAAAAGTATTTTTAACACATTTTTTATCTGTGCATTAATCTTATGTGTCGAGTGCTCGAAACATATTTCTTTTAGCCGACATTTTTAAATACCGAATGTTTGACGTAATTCGGTTTTTATTGTGACTACATAATGTAATATTGTTTTTAATAATATTAGACTTATATTTATGACAATAGAGATATTTATGATTATCTATACCAATATTATAAAGAGGTAAAATTGGTTTGTAAGTTTGATGTAGGGGCTAATCTTTGGAACTGCTGTTCGGATTGCCAAAATTCTTTCACTGATAGATAGCTACAGCGTTCACGGGTGCTATAGGCTATAAACATCACGCTACGATTAAATGGAGCCGAGCAGCGGGTGAAACCGCGCGAGAGTAGCTAGTTGTTTATAATTTACTAGCTTTTGCCCGCGACTCCCTTCGCGTTGGAATGGAGACTTCCTGCAAATTTTTGGTATCTAAACTATTCTATGTTCGTTTTTCTCGAGTTCCAAACTATGTCTGTAGCAAATTGCACAGAAATCGGTTCAGTAGTTTAGGCGTGAAGAAAAGACAGACAGACAGAGTTACTTTCGCATTTATAATACCTATTAGTTTGGATTTGTTTATGCTTCACACACAAAAAATAGCATAAAGCTGATGCACAAGGCGGATTTATGAATGCCATAATTATGGCATTCTCTGCCATTTAAGCTTTGGGTAGCGTAGCCAAATGAGCGAAAAATAGGTACAGAAAAAATGTTACGAACTTACAATACGAAATAACGTGAAATTATAATTTATTTGCGTAAACTAGATAGGTAGGCTTAGTTTGAGAATTTACAGACATAGTAACGATTATAAGGCAAACATATAAAAGACACTTAACGAAGCCGTTAACTACGCATACTGCAGTTCTAATTATGTAGCTTTACGCTAAACTTGTCACTGGGAAACTACTTTTATTTTTAGGTATAAAAAAAAAAATTGCGCGCAATGTGAAGCAAACGGGCTTCGTGTCATTGTGTGCGTAGGTTCACAGCTTAGCATTAAAACGCTGTAATAAGTACGTAGGTCGACGTTTTACTTCGCAACAACAAAACAATTCTGGAAAATAAAAATCCTATTTATTTAGAAAAATCGAAAATTCTGGTAATGTTTGTTTGGAAAAAAGTTTTGTAATAATACTTAGAATGCATCTTTGACCTTCAATATCTCGAGAACTCGTGGAGTCCCAGCTATGGTCTTAAAGAAAAAAAATATCCAAATAATGGGTAGAATACGTGGCTTTCGGCTTCGTTAAGTGTCTTTTTACACCCTGTATGTTTTTGAGCCTTTAACGTATTTATTATATTATATCTTTTTTTTATTTTTTATTAGACTACGCCACGCTCTATCCCACACCACGACATAATTCGACCGGTTGCACCGGCAGTGCAATGTAACGGAAGACCAATCCTTACCCTTCCCCAATCCCGAAATCTCCAAATCCCTAATCCCTAAAAGTCGGCAACGCACTCGTAACTCCTCCGTTGCGGGCGTCCATAGGCGACGCTGATTGCTTACCATCAAGTAATCCGTCAACTCGTTTGCCGATCTATTACCTACATAACTTCGACGCTAATTTCACACTCGAACAAGATTCAAAATCAAACAAATTTTGTAGAATTGACGTGCAGGGTGTAAAATTCCTCGTCTTCCATTGAAAAGGGAGGATCCTCCGACCAGAGATGGTGTCTAGTGGGCTACTACCCGACGGTTGTTGTCATGATTTTGTACCAGTTTTAAAAACGTCGAGAAATGTTACACCGCGATGTACAAACTTGAATGTGATTGGCGCTGTTGCTGCGTGCTGTGCGATAAATTTTTTTTTTTGTGTGGGAAATATCATCAAATGACTTCTCCCGCCCAGGGCCGGGCGAAAGGGAGTGTCAGACTCTTACTGACTAAAATCCCCCTTGTTCTTTCTCCTGCTTTGGGCCGAGGTCGCGGTGCCTTATTGCGCTTACCCCGCAACCCCGGCTGAACATCAGCCCTATAGGGCCCCGTCTGTGGTGGTCTATTGGCTCTTTGAGGCGCGAGCGGAACGCTACGCGCCGTACGCTCGGGTCCGGTTCTGGTCGGGCGGCGAGCTGGTTGTGCGATAGATGTCGCTATAAAGTTATTTGGTGATTTTCTCCCTGTACAAAAAACTCGCAAGGTGCCAATCGAGGGTAACATTGGATATTGGGATTACATCCTTAATTAATTTATGAGGATTAACGATTACATGCTCAGCGCTAACTACGTTAAAGTCAGCTGTATTGGTTAATTAATCAATCAATATACAGTCTCCAAGTTTTTTTCTGCGCCCGTCCGAACTTGCCCGTCTATTGTTCTTTTGTTAAAAAAACTGACGGAATTGTATTCTGATTAATATTACTTATCACAGAAAACGGCGTGAGACAACTACGGCGTTGTGATACGCCGCGTGAGGAGGGTCAATACTTCCCTTACCCAATCCCAAAATCACCTTAACCTTAATCCCCAAATGGTCGGCAACGCACTCTTAAATCCTCCGTTGTTGCGAGCGTCCATGGGTGGCGCTGATTGCTTACCATCAGGTAATCAATCTGCTCGTTTGCCATTCTATCACATAAATAATCTACATCTGCATCAAACAACATCATCACATCAACATCCTAATTAAAAACTCGAAACTTGGTAAGTTTGAATGGATGTTTGATACTTTTTCACACACCCCTTATCCCAAATCAATATTTCAATCCCTCCTACTACTAAACGTTCTCAGATGTCCATGAATGGCGCCGATTGCTTACCATCAGGTTCGTTCCGTCAGACTTTAAAACCTGCCAGGCAAAAAAGAACCTTAGTGACTTACTTCAATTCTCCAAACTTCTATTCCGGCCTTCTTGCCAGCGTTGGCAAACGCGGGGTGTACTTCTGGCATAGTCTGAAAAGAAGAAGAAAAAATAAGGTCACAGAGTGTCAACAAATGAAAAATTTAAGTGTGGGAGAGCCAAGTTTCAGCACGAAAGGGTCGGCTCGACCGGAGTGATACCACGTCCTGACAGAAAACCAGCGTGAAACAACCACAGCGTTGTGTTTCGCCGTGTGAGTGAGGTTGCCGGAGGCCAATCCCTTCCCCTCTCCTAATCCCTACATCCGCTGCTCTTCAAAATCTCTCCAGAAGGCCGACAACTCACTCGTAAAACCTTTGGTGTTGTCCAAGGGCGGCGAAGATTGCTTACCATCAGGTAATCCGTCTGCCCGTTCGCCGACTTATTCCATAAAAAAAATGTTCAAATTCAGATGACCATGACCAGTTGCTATGAAACCAGCTAATATAGAAGTAATCAGAATAAGTCTGTGTTCAGATTTTTTTCAGACGGATCACCTGATTTTAGGCAATCGGCGATTGGTGATATGAGACCCTCAAACACTCGCAGAACCAAAGGAGTTACTACAAGTGCGTTGCCGGCCTTTTTAAAGTTGTTAAAGATTTGAGAAGTCGACTGGGTTTCGGAGTGGAATGGAGGGTGGAGATCTGGTCTCCGGTAACCTCACTCATACTGCGAAACAAAGCTGTGGTTGTTTCAGCCAGGTTTTCTCTGAGGCCGTGGTATCGTTCCGGTAGAATCGGGCTATTCGTGACGAAATCATAGCTCTCCTATTTCGGTACTATAAAATACCTTCCTATTAAAAAATATCCAACTTTCATTAATTTTATTACTTTTTACTGTAGTCAATAATTAATTTTATGACATAAGTAGTTAAGGGACGCTATTTGACGCTAAAAACCGTGACGTCACAACCCTGGTCAAAAATCATAGTTGGTATTTCGTCCACTTTGAACAATGTGGAAATAGAAATTAAATTCTAAAAGTGAAGATACCCAAGTAGGTAAGCATAATTATGAATATGCGTCCAGTACTTTCGAAGTATTTAGCAAACTAACAAACAGACAGTAAAAAATAAGTTTTAGAATATTGTAGTAGGTAGGTAATCTAGATCTACACAAAAACCGATTCAAATCCATTCAACAAAAAAACGTCTGTGGGAGAAGGACAGCTGATTATTTTGGCGAAGGAGTGAACGAGACAAATAAATCCATTGTTGACGCGTTGTCCTTGGCAACGCTAGTATACGCTTGAGGAAAAAGGATAAAAAATATTTCTTGCTTTGTTTTGTGTTTTTGTGCGTGTATGTATGTTTGCAAATGTGGAGTTTGTTTTGTAAATAAAAGTGTATGCGTACTATCTGTTCGAATTCACGGTTGGCGCGGTGGCTGGGCAACTGGCTTTGGCGCAACGAGTCGCGGGTCCGATTCCCGCACGGAACAACTCTTTGTGTGATCCACAAATTGTTGTTCCGGGTCCGGGTGTAATGTAAAAAATGCCCAATACTAAGCAAAGGCCTCTTCCCATACGGAGAAGGTTTGAGCATGAATTTCCACGCTTGCTCAATACGGATTAGAATTTCGAGCTTATAGACTAGCTTACAATCGCGGCTTTTCCCGCGTATGTTGTTAAAAAGTAGCATATGCGTTAATGACCGTATTTCTTCGAATCACCGAAGTCTGCAACCATGTTTAGCCGGGGTCCTTGCAGATCAAGGGCATTATAATAATGTGCCAATGTCTCTTAAAAGTCATAAGAGTCTGACACTGATCATCGCCATAAAGCGAGAGTGTCATTTAATGATTTTCCTTTTTTAAAGCAAAGGGTTAAAACCTATTTACACACAAATCGGTAAAAGAATAACAAAACACCCAGTACGGAGCGGACGGCGCGAAGCGTTCCGCGCGCGCCTCAAAGAGCCAATAGACCACCACAGACGGGGCCCTATAGGGCTGATGTTCAGCCGGGATTGCGGGGTAAGCGCAATGAGTCACCGCGACCTCGGCCCAGAGCAGGAGAAGGAACAGGAGAAGGGGTTAAGTCAGTAAGATTCCGAAACTTCCTCACGCCATACCCTCGGCGAGATCAGTAATTTGATGGTTTTCCCTACCCAAAAAAATCCACTAGACTATTCGAAATAAAAAAAAATCTGTTTAGTAATTTTCGATGTTGATTTAGAATCTTATACTTGCTTATTCAATCAATCGCAATATACAGTACAGAATCGATTTAACTCATGAGAAATTTGTGTTCGAAACACATCTGTCAAAGCCGTGTAGAAATAACAAGCTAGATCGTGCAAATACTGATTTGTAGTCAATCAATCAATCAATCTACATCGTTCAATATATTTCTGTTTGTTTATGTATATCTATACTAATATTATAAAGAGGTAAAATTTGTAAGTTTGTATGTAGGGGGTAATCTTTGGAACCGATGGTCGGATTGCCAAAATTCTTTCACTGATAGATAGCTACAATGTTCCTGAGTGCTATAGGCTATAAAACATCACGCTACGATCAAATGGAGACGAGCAGCGGGTGAAACCGCACGAAAGTAGCTAGTTGTGTATATTTTAGCACAGTTCTATTGCAGCCTGGGTTGCGGGTTAAGCGCAATGTGGGACCGCGGCCTAAACCCAGAGCAGGAGAACGAACGGGGAGGTTTTAAGTAAGCAAGAGTCTTTTTTTGTGAGGGGACAATCATCAAATGACTTCTTCCGCCCAGCGCTAGGCAGGCGGGAGAGTCAGACCCTTACTGACTAAAAGCCCCCGCCATTCCTTCTCCTGCTCTGGGCCGAGGTCGCGGTGCCTCATTGCGCTTACCCCGCAACCCCGGCTGAACATCATCCCTATAGGGCCCGTCTGAGGTGGTCTATTGGCTCTTTGAGGCGCGATCATCTCTCGAGTCATTAAGAGTCTGACACTCCCTCCTGCCCGACCCTGGGCGGGAGAAGTCATTTTATTTTCCCATAAGAAACAAAAACACGGTTCTAAAAGGTGGTCTTTAACGTTATAAGAATATACTTTTACGTCAAACCTCGATCCATTAGGTATGCAATAAATGCAAGTTCACAAAGGTTTAAATGAACTTTCCTGGTAGGTACTTAATTAAGGAAATTTTTGGAAGGATGAACACTCATTTTTGCATAAAAGAAAACCCATAATTGGCGTTACTGTGTTTCATAACTAATATCCAACCAAAAACAGTCAATATTATTTATTTTATATGTATATTTATCTAAATATATGAAACTAGCTCCTCTCGCGCGGTTTCACCCGCTGCTCAGCTCCATTTGATCGTAGCGTGATGTTTTATAGACTATAGCACTCAGGAACATTGTAGTTATCTATCAGTGAAAGAATTTGGCAATCCGACCAGCGGTTCCAAAGAATACCCCCTTATATACAAACTTACAAACACACAAACTTAAAAAATTTACCTTTTTATAATATTAGTATAGAATAAAATATTTTTACAAAAAAAAAACCGACTTCAAAAAGCACCTAAACTAAAAAGCAAAAAATAAATTTACTTTGTTCAAAGTAATACATATTTACATTTAGTTAAATAGAAAATAACATTTAATAACTATTTTATAATTTTGAAGTCGGTGCCAAGTAAATACTGCATAGGTACCAAACAACAACAGTATTAGAAAAATATATTGATCGGTACCTACTAATCAACAAACTAGCAAGAGGTATGTAGGTTATATCATTACACTAATATAGTTTTACTTGGCACCGACTTTAAGATTATAAAATAGTTATTAAATGTTATTTTCTATTTAACTAAATGTAAATATGTATTACTTTGAACAAAGTAAATTTATTTTTTGCTTTTTAGTTTAGGTGCTTTGTGAAGTCGGTTTTTTTTTTTGTAAAAATATTTTATATCATAACAGCTGACGGATTACCTGATGGTAAGCAATGGAGAACCCCCAACACCAGAGGAGATATAATTAATTGCCGTCCTTTTTAGGAGATTGAGGGAACAGTAGGGATTCCGGGCGTCGGGAATCGTTCCGGGCGTCGGGGATCGAGAGATGATTTCCGGCCATCGCAACCGCGGGTCTGTGGACGGCGAGTAAGGGTAGCCCGACCAGAACCAGACCCGAGCGTACGGCGCGTAGCGTTCCGCGCGCGCCTCAAAGAGCCAATGGACCACCACAGACGGGGCCCTATAGGGCTGATGTTCAGCCGGGGTTGCGGGGCAAGCGCAATGAGTCACCACGGCCGCAGCCCAGAGCAGGAGAAGGAACAAGGGGTTTTAGTCAGTAAGAGTCTGACACTCTCTATCGCCTAACCCTAGGCGGGAGAAGTCATTTGATGATTTTAAAAGGATGTGGGAAGAGGAAGGCAGGTTGACAAAAGGCATTTATATTATTTAAGGTTAAAAATAATTAACATTAGGCGACCAAATTTGAAAAGTTAAGGTTTTTCATAGAGTACTGTTCGGCACGAATGGTCGGCTCGAGCGGAGTGATACCACGGCCTCGCAGAAAACCAGCTTGAAACAACCACAGCGTTGTATTGCGCCGTGTGAGTGAGGTTACCGGAGGCCCAATCCTTCCCCTCCCCCAAACCCTCCTCAATCCCTAAATCTCCAAATCTCTAATCCCAAAAAGGTCGGCAACGCACTCGTAACTCCTCCGTTGCGAGTGTCCATGGGCGGCGCTGATTGCTTACCATCAGGTAATCCGTTTGCTCGTTTGCCGACCTATTTCATAAAAAAAAACTTTTAACTTTCGCGTGTCATATTTACAACATATGTATAATTATAACACGAAATTAGGTATGTATATATGATGTAAATATCTGCCTATCCTTCAAGTATATGTATGAATGGGTGTGATTGTATGTTTATCCTTATATTTTATCAGTCTGTATGTATATATTTCTTCGTTATTTGGAAATAATGGTTCACTGTTCTGAAAAGTCACCGAATTTGTTTGAATTATGACTAAGAAGTCTTATTTGAAACCTATTACTAATACATAAGTAGTATGTTTATTTTTAAGTGTGGAAGAGCCATGCTTCGGCATGAATGAGTCGACCGGAGTGATACCACGGCCTCACAGAAAAATTGACGTTAAACAACCACAGCGTTGTGTTTCGCCGCGTAAGTGAGGTTGCCGGAGGCCTTATTCTTGTTCCCCTTCCCCAATCTCAAAATCTCCGAAACCCTAATCCCTAAAATGCCGACGACGCACTCGTAACTTCTCTAATTTAGCGGGCGTCCATGAACGGCGCTTGCTTACCATCAGGTAATCGGACTGCTCGTTTAATGCCATATCACATAAAATCACGGGTTAATAAGTAAATACAAATTACGTTTTAAGAATAGTATCTCCCTGAAAACCCCTGACCAAAAAAAGTACCTGAACCGATTGCCACCAAACATAGCTAAAACACTCTCGACTGATATACCTTCCAAACAAAATAACTTTATTACAATTGGATCATCCGTTTAAGAGTTACGATGCCACAGACAGACACACACTCACACAGAAGCGTCAAACTTATAACATCCCCGTCATTTTACAGTGTGGGTTTAAAAATAAAGGTCATATAGCGTCTTCCACTTTCAGACGCTATGGAGCAAAAACAAAAAAGTTCTCAGTAACAAGGTCGAATTATTATTTCGTTTTTTAATGCGGACTCTTTCTGGTTCAACGAGTTTTGGACAGGGACTGATTTAAATGATCGAGTTTTGATAACCTTTTTTTTATGTAATAGATCGGCAAACGAGCAGACGGATTACCTGATGGTAAGCAATCAGCGACGCCCATGGACACCCGCAACGGAGGAGTTACTTACGAGTACGTTACCGACCTCTTAGGGATTAGGGTTTTGGAGATTAAGGGATTGGGGAGGGATCGCGGGAGGGGAAGGATTGGGCCTCCGGTAACCTCATTCACATGGCGAAACACAACGCTGTGGTTGTTTCACGCCGGTTTTCTGTGAGGCCGTGGTATCACTCCGGTCGAGCCGACCCATTCGTGCCGAAGCATGGCTCTCCCACACTTAAACCTAAGCTAACCTAAGTATACTATACTAATATTATAAAGCTGAGGAGTTTGTTTGTTTGAACGCGGTAATTTCAGGAATTACTGGTTCGAATTGAAAAATTCTCTTTGTGTTTATTAGACCATTTATTGATAAAGGCTTTAGGCTATAAAACATCACGCTACGATCTGTAGGAGCCGGGCAACCGGTGAAACCGCTCGTGATTAGGTAGTATTCGAATAATTTAAATCACATAGCTTGCTTTTTTTTATTAAAAAAAATTTTGCCCCGCTCTGTAATTGTTCCTGTGTCGTGGGTGCGTTTACAAACATACAATTTCACATACACATCACACACAGACCCGGAACAACAATCTGTGGATCACACAAAGAGTTGTTCCGTGCGGGGATCGAAACACGTTAGGCGGCAGCCAGTTGCCCAGCCACCGCGTCAACACGAGCTCAAGACAGTTTGCTGATTTCAAACTTATAATACGGTAGTTTCCAACTAGTCAAATTCAATACTTTTATCCAAACGTCAAAAACGATACTTTTCTATGAAATTTGTATGAAAAACTGAGTTATGACGTCATAACATTTTTGCGTCAAATAGCTTACCTACTTATTTTTTCATAACAGTTAGCTAAAAAACATCTAAAACTTAGTGTATCGATCGATCGATGAATAAAAGTACAGTTATTTTTCAATATTTTATTGTATTGAAACGTCGAATTAATTTATTTTTGACCTAGGAAACTACGCAATTAGAAATTATAAGTTTGAGTTGCTTTACTAAGTTTTCCTTCAATAATTGTGTAGTTTCCTAGGTCAAAAATAAATTAATTCGACGTTTTAATACAATAAAATATTGAAAAATAACTATACTTTTATTCATCGATCGATCGATACACTAAGTTTTAGATATTTTTTAGCTAATTTTTTAAAAATAAGTAAGCTATTTGACGCAAAAATGCTATGACGTCATAATTCAATGTTTCATACAATTTTCATAGAAAAGTATCGTTTTTGACATTTGGATAAAAGTATTGAATTTGACTAGTTGGAAACAACCGTTTTATGTCAGTGGTGTCTAAATAATAATAGAAAGTACATATAACTCGGAAAAAGTCACATTGGTATTTCCCTGGTTCCCTCCTGGCCTCCTATCCACATCGACCTTCTCAACGACCTCCTTTTTCATTATGTTTGTGCATTCGACCGTAACGATGAATAATTAAAAACATATTGTAATCATTTTACAAATAGTTTGTTTGTTTGGACGCGTTAATCTCTGCAACTGCTTGTCACAAATAAATAAAAATTGAAAATTAAATGGGTCTGAAGAACAAAATTTTATATTCAACTAGGGACCTGCCCTGGCTTCGCACAGGTGTAATGCTGATACTAAATTACTCCACTATTTAATGGATGTTGTTATACCATATAAACCTTCAATCACTCTGTCTACTAAAAAATCGCATCAAAATGCGTTGCATAGTTTTAAAGATTGAAGCATATATAGGGATATAGGGTCAGAGAAAGCGAAACCTTTGTTTTATACTAGGTATTTTTTTATGTAATAGGTCGGCAAACGAGCGGTCGGATTACCTGATGGTAAGCAATCAGCGCCGCCCCTGGACACCAGCAACACGAAAGGAGTTACAAGTGTATTGCCAGCCTTTTGAAGGTTGTTAGGGTTATGAGGATTGGAAGACGTTAGGGATAGGAAAGAAAGAGTGCACCTGTGATAACTGTGGTGTACCATCCACTATTTAAAGTGTGGGAGAATCATGCTTCGGCACGAATGGGTCGGCTCGACCGGAGTGATACCACGTCCTCAAAGAAAACCGGCGTGAAACAACCACAGCGTTGTGTTTCGCCGCGTGAGTGAGGTTATCGCAGGCCTAATCCTTTTCCCTCGGCATCCCACCCCAATGATACCTAGATTTGCGATTCCCTAATCCCCATAAGACCGGGAACATAGGTACTCATAACTTTGGCATTGCGGATGTCCATGGGCAGCGCCGTTTGCTTACCATCAGATAATACCTATGACTGTTCATTTATCTACATTAAAAAATATATAATGGCCAATTATATGTAATTAAACAAATATACCTATAGTTATTGTAATTTTATATTCTAACGACAATTTTATCCTATTGTTTGTACCTATTTCTTTAATAAAAATAGCAAACGAAAATCAGGTTGGTGTAACCCTTCGGCTGTACGCCGGATGCAATACTAGACTGAAAAACTATTAGGCGATTTTTTCTTAAATTTAAATTAAAATCTCCATTCGTACTTGCCCGAGCTCAGTATCGTAAACAAAACCACACGCACGATAGGCGTCGCACTCTACTTACGAAACAATTAACATAAAAATTCTAATTACACGTTTTAACTAAAATAATAATAACAAAAAACTACTTACGATTTCGATATTACAAAGTTCCGGAGTAACACGACGTGCGCTCCCCGCAACTGTCAAATGTGAACTGAATTCGTATTTCATTCGTTTCGTTACCTTACCATTCGTTCTGTGAATAATTGACATGGAGTATTAGATGTACAGAGTGTTTTGTGTATGAATGAATAAGTGTCATTTGTAAATACCTATGTAGTTGGCTAGTGTTAGATCATGATATAAAAATATGTCACGAAAGTCGTTTTTGGTCCTCGTGGCTTCTCCCAAAAGGCAGAAGACGGCACGAAAGCTGAGTCTTTTAGTGGGTGCAAGCCCCACATAACCTCACCGTCTCCCCGGGCGGTGTGTGTAAGCGTAAGGCATTTTTCTAAGCTGGAAAAAAATGTAAGTATATAAAAATTTTTTGTTTTTTTTTTATGTAATTGGTCGGCAAACGAGCAGACGGATTACCTGATGGTAAGCAATCAGCGCCGCCCATGGACACTCGCAACGGAGGAGTTACGACTGCGTTGCCGACCTTTTAGGGATTAGGGATTTGGAGATTTAGGGATTGAGGAGGGATGGGGGAAGGGGAAGGATTGGGCCTCCGGTAACCTGAAAAATATGTGTTTGTAAGCATTATCTTTATAACTTTTTGAGCCGATTTTGCTGTGTTTTTCTTTTGTTAGTAAGAAAGTTCTTATGAAAGAAAAATCTGGAAAAGCAAAAGGGAAATTCGGGATATCGAGAAAATTAAGTCTTTAGCGAAGAGCTAGTTGCTAATGCATTGAAAAATATTATTTAATAATACATTTCACGTAAAGTTGTTCAACGGGCCTCTGCGAGTTGGCTTCGGCCCCTCGTACGCCTTCCAAAGGTCCGGGATCTTCTGATCCCGTGAACGGAAACGAATATACAAATAATAATAATATTAATTTTCGACTATATTGTACAATAGTTCTGCATCAACCGGAGAATGTCCTTGGGTGCACTTTTATAATGTATACAGGGAAAATTACCGGCTGATGTCCCATTTCACTAATATTAAAGTTGTTCAAAGGGCCTCTGCGAGTTGACTTCGGACCCTCGAGCGCCTTTCAAAGGTCCGGGACCGTGTGGTCCCGTGAATAGAAGCGAACATTCATAAAATATATTAGTTTTCTTCCGATTTTTTTAATCCACTACTGACACAAAAAATTAATAAAAACTGAAAGGTCATAACAAACTGGAGATACCATATTAACAAAATGGCGTTTGCAGTGTTTAAGTGACACTCACTTCTGAAATCTTAGGGACGAACAAACAAGAATATAAAAAAACCAAAGTCGTTAATCGCGCTAATTACACTCTTAATTCTCGTCTAGTTAATAATAAGAACAGTTGTTTCGATGTACCCGAATAACAAACTAACATAACAACAATATTATATTACGACAAAAAAAGTTTGCAAACGACGAAATTCATTACATTTTGACACATGTCACGTGGAGACGATTTAAATATATTAATCCTATCAATTGCTTTTGCCCGCGACTCCGTTTGCGTGGAATAGTGACTTCCTGTAGATTTTTTTTATAAAAACGATCCTATGTCCTTTCTCGAGTTCCAAACTATGTCTGTGCCACATTTCACAGAAATTAGAGTTCAATAGTTTAATCAATAATATAATATTAATAAGACTATCGAGCTCAAAATTGCAGTATTTTTACTCGTTCCAAAAAATCTTACTCTTTAGTACTTGTGTGTTAAAAAACACCTATTACTCCATTACATTCATAATCCATGTTCTGGTTCTAAAAAAGAACGAACGAAAACTATGGGCGTAGATGGCATCTGTTTGCTGTAGATAAAACAGTATAAGTGACAATTTGATTCAAGGTCGCGGTCGCGGTGCAAGCGAATTTGTTGTGGTACAGCGTTCTGTCGGTAACAAGAAAGATTGTGATTCATTCATTTTGTTGTTTATTTTCTGTGTCATAGTCTGGCCATAAATACTGTTACAATTAAAAATAAACAAACATATTACATTTGAATTTGGAATCTGTCATTTTTATATAATTTTATGTGTTTTCTTATTTTGGCGCCAATAAATTGTTCAATATTTTGCGATATTAAAATGGAGTGGGGTGATAAAGAGAACCGAATCGCTGTGATTGCATTACACAAAGTGGGTATGGAGCCAAATGCAATTTTTAAATGATTGATGATTTTCATCCCTAAAAACAATATTTAATAAGTGTATAATAACTATATGTTTTATATCATAATTACTCGCAGCTTATTATAAGTGTAGGTATCATTGTCTACGTTTTCCGCATTGTTCGGTCTAGATAAACATTTAATATGTCATCAACAGTCTATAAGTGCCCATTGCTGAGAAAAGGATTCTTCTCATACGGAGAAGGTTAATCATAGCGCATTAATCACCACACTTGCTCAATGCGTGTTGGCGATTTCGAACTTATAATTAGAAATTATATATATTTTATATATAAATTCAGGTTTCCTCGCGATGTTTACCTTCACCGTATGTCAGTGGTGTCTAAATAATCATAGAAAGTACATATAACTCGGAAAAAGTCACATTGGGACATGCCAGGTTTCGAACCCACACCCTCATGCATGAGAAGCGGGCTCCTTAACCTTCGGGCCACCACGACGTCCCTTTAAAAACGATTTAGAACTGATTTTTCAATAGTCAGATAAATGTTATCTGAGGAATAAAATTGTTGCTGTCTCTGTCTTATACAAACATTCTGACGCGACAGCATCATAATTATTCCCCAGGTAACTTTTATCTAACCATTGAAAAATCAGGAAATACGATGCCTACACTTTTATTAAGTAAGTACAGATAGCAAAACAACATTTTCCCTAGTATGTTTATAGTGTGAGAGAGCCATGCTTCGGCACGAATGGGTCGGCTCGACCGGAGTGAAACCACGGCCTCACATAAAACCGGCGTGAAGCAACGCTTTTACGTTGTGTTTCGCCGTGTTAGTCATGTTACTGGAAGCCCAATCCCTTCCTTCCTTAATCCGCAAATCCCCTATCCATTTTTTTGTGAGGGGAAAATCATCAAATGACTTCTCCTGCCCCGGGCCGGGCAGGAGGGAGTGTCAGACTCTTACTGATTAAAAACCCCCCTGTTCCTTCTCCTGCTCTGTGCCGAGGTCGCGGTGCCTCATTGCGCTTACCCCGCAAACCCGGCTGAAAAAGCTAACGTCACGCGGTATTCTCAGACCGTCACCCATCCAAGTCAGCGCCCGAAGTTGCTTAACTCCGGTGATGGGACGAGAACCGGTGCTTTTAATATGTTATGAACGTTGGCTATCCTTAATTCCCTAATAAGTAACTCCTTTGGTATTACGAGTGTCGAGGGGCGGCGCTGATTGCTTACCATCAGGTCGATAATCCATTTGCTCGTCTGCTGACCGATTGCTATAATAGTCGCTATATTAGTTATATCCCGGACCAGCTCGGAGCCGGGGAATGAACAGGTTGGTTTTTAGTCTATAAGAGTCTGGCATTGCCCACGAAGGGCGAGGGAAAGCATTGGCCCTTTCAAAAAAAGGGTGGTTAAAACTGTAGTCTACACTCAACCACACCTTAAAGTCAAAATCAAAATCAACATCAAAATCAAATTCAAAGTCAAAGCCAACGTCAAAGTCAACGTCAATGTCAACGTCAACGTCAACGTCAACGTCAACGTCAACGTCAACGTCAACGTCAACGTCAAAGTCAAAGTCAAAGTCAAAATCAAATACAAAATCAAAATCAAAATCAAAATCAAAATCAAAATCAAAACATTTATTTCAATAAATATTAAAACAGTCACATTCCTTTGAAACGATTTAGATAATCGTAATATTATAATGTGTTTAAATGTTTTTATATACCTATATGTATTACATAATATTGTACAATAATTCAATCCGAGTATCCGTATCCGTTGAGGAAATAACTGGTTTATCTGATAACAGCCGTTACTATGGTAACCTATTTATCTTATATATAAAAATTGATCGCAAAATGTGTTGGTAAGCGCATAACTCAACACCGCCTGGACCAATTTTGCTAATTCTTTTTTTTGTGTTTCTTATTGTCAGGAGAAGGTTCTTATCAAAGAAAATATTAGAAAAGTAGAGGGGAAGATTTGGAATAAGTGACCCTTTGATAGCGAGATAGTTGGAGCTGCGCGAAGCGGGGGCGGGCCGCTAGTACATTATACATATATCTATATACCTACATATCTATATTACATAATACATCTAATAAAAAGCATAGAGAAGCTATCCAGTTCTCTATGATAAAAATCAATGCCACTATTCGTTGCAATATTATAATAATTATATATTTATTGCCTTTACCGATTTTACTAATTTTGGTCTTGAATTATTCGTGGAAGTCCAGAGGTTTCTACGTAGAGAAAAATCTTGAAAAATTGTAAAATCGACATCCACGTAGGTGGAGCTGCGGTCGACCGCTAATATATTTATAAACGAATCACAAAATGTGTTTGTAAGCATATAACTCAGGAACGCCTGGACCAATTAATATTGCCAATTCTTTTTATGGTGTATTTATTATTGTCAGAAGAAGGTAAAGAGTAACCATGGAGTTTCATGCTCGTTCTTCTCCATCTGAATCTACACTTTGGAACGAGCAAAGAGCTTCACTAAGAGGACTGACCGACAGACTGACACTTTATATCTTTAAAATTTTGTTTGACATTCAAAGTGCCTGTATGGGTCTAATTGAAATAAATGATTTTGACTTTGACTTTGACTTTGAGGTACTTATCAAAGAAAATATTACAAAAGTATTATTTCATTGTAGTAGTATTTCATTGTTAGCGAGATAGTTGGACCCATGCGAAGTGGGGGCGGGACGCTAGTCCAAACTTTCGAACTAATATCATAAATGCGAAAGTAACACAGAAATTTACATGAGCTGCTGTTTACATGTGAACATTAGCTCATGACGATACCTAAGTACGTGTGTCGCCTGGACAGTCACCGCTACCATCAGTTGACTGGACAATCTCTTTACATGAGCTGCTGTTTACATGTGAACATTAGCTCATGCGAA